CCGCCATCCAGCGGACATTCCAAAGACTAATTGAGAGGTGGCGCAAGCACACTTTCTTACGGCTTGCGCTTCGGGTCCACTTCCCACCTTTAACCACCTCGAGTTCATGGTATATACTAGTTCACTGTATTCGTGGCACTGTGGCTCAACGCTCGCTAAACCTTTCTAAAACCAAGGAGGTTACGCCCAGCGAGTATAACGTAGCAACCCTTTCTTGTCAGATAGTGCTCAATGTACATGCCAATGGCTGCTAATGGGGATCGCAGAGTGCACGTTAACTAAACACCGAATGCTCCTGTCTCTCATTCCCCCTTAGGAGCCATCGGCGTGTACATTGAGCACGATATTTTATTGTTCAACAACGCACAGAAAAAATCTCTTACCGGCACCACTTTGGATGTCAAAATATTATACTTGTTACACACTACAACGGCTACGAGGGACGAATGGGTGCCGCTATAGAAAGCTTCGCCCCAAAACTTGTATGTCTGTCTGTACATTTGTCTGTATGTCCGCCATAACGATACTCCAAACGGCACCAAGTGATACTCCAAACGGCCAACCCCATCCGCAGCGCCCACTAATATTGCTCAAGTTTCAGCGTTCATACTTGTGCCTTCGTCAATTGAAAAGCAAGTATTTTGCATATCTGAGGCACCATAACAACAATTCAATATTTTGTATGTGTGGGTTTATACTATAGAAGGCACAGATAAGTAATTATAAGGACCGTAGCGTTTATCACGCTGCGCTGACAGTGCAACGCGATGCTAAAAAATGCAAGTGTTTCCGACACTTTACTAACACGACACGGTGGTGGCACCTGGCTGTCGCTTTGCGTTCTACACCTTATCGCCTCCGAGGCGCATCTTTCTCCGTCAACGCCTTCTTTCGTTTTCGAAGATAACTGCCAAATAGCGCTCGTGTCTAACGTGCCCCAATTTGTTCGTTCGCCTTCGCTGCACGAATCGAGACTCCCTAACGTAGCGCTTCCAGAATACAATTCACAGATTTTCTCGCGCAGAGCAGCAAATAAACGTTTTGTTCCCCCTCTCCACACGTAATCTTTCGACGACATTTGCAGTGAAACATGCAGATACGGGGCCAATTTGTTCTTTCTCAATTCTATTTCTATTTGTTTATTGTATCGCTTTTGTGTACCTGTTTCTTGTATTTCTTTTCTTATATTAACGCTTGCCACAAGCGACTCGGTGGTGGATTTATTTTGTTGAATTCCTGTAGCATGTATACTCACCTGTAGAGTTTTCTGCAACACCGCACAGACATCGGCGAGCTACAACGGGTTCGCCGTCAAAATTTTATGCCATCATGCAATGACTTGTCTGCGTACTGGTTTGCAGTATATTAAAATTTCATCGCAAATCAAATTACAGCCACTTCTACGTTACATTTACGCAGTCCAGATTACTTTTGTTTGATTCGGGCAAAGTTAACCCCGTTGGAGTAATGATACGCATCACTCCCACTGACGTCACTGATGCGGCCATGTTGTAGTACTATAGGACGACGAGAAGCTGCGTTCTTCGTGTCACGTATACGCTGCTAGCGCATCGTGCGAGTGTTCTGCCGTCATTCTAGTTCAAATAGCGATGGCGTTGCGGCCCCTCTTTTCAGTCATATCAAAGCAGCTTAACTGTAACAGTGAAAATGCTTTTTGACGCCATAAAGGAAGCGAAAAAAAAAACTGCGCGTAACACAGTACAGTGACAGAGACGGATCAAGCGCTGAACTTACAACCAAGGTTTATTTCATACATGGGGTTATATATAGCCCCGCCGCGGTGGTCTAGTGGCTAAGGTACTAGGCTGCTAACCCACACGTCACGGAATCGAATCCCGGCTGTGGCGGCTGCATTTCCGATGGAGACGGAAATGTTGTAGGCCCGTGTGCTCAGATTTGGGTGCACGTCAAAGAACCTCAGGTGGTCGAAATTTCCGGAGCCCTCCCCTACAGCGTCCCTCATAATCATATGGTAGTTTGGGGATGTTAAACTCCACATATCAATCAATGGGGGTATATATAGCACACAAAACTTTAAGAGTAACGTTTGTTATGTTTGTGTGCGTCTGAAAAAACTGTGATTACGCAATCATTCACTTGTAAAATACGCAAATTCCCTGGCGAGGAGCGTTATCGAAGGTGACCTGACACACATATCACCTGTCTTGCTAATTCAGAACGCTTCATAAATTTCACGTGCTCGTTGATCTCTGTAGCGTCGAAGTATCTTGAACTGACCAAACAATCCATGACATCCACAAACGGAGCTATGCGCTGCTGACGCCGTCGTAGCTGTCTTGTTGTGACAGACACCAGTACAGTGAAAAGCAGCCCGTGATGGGCAAGCTATCTATATGAACAGCTGTTATTTTGTTAACCGTGGCTCTGACGCTAACCACCGACACCGCTAAAGTTTTTCGCCGTATACTGTATTACGTGTCGTAGATAAGTTCACGGAATGAAATTTAAGTAAGCTTACGAGCCAAGTGTGCACTTGCCCCTGCCAGTCGTCTTTCGCAAGATTCACCTTTAACTTAGCAGCTTTTGAGAATGCTGCCTTAACAACTAGGCTATACCTGTAAGATTCTTTTAATGGGGAAACGTCATTTATCTAGTGTATGCCGCAGACTTGCGGGTAAAGTGACCGGGTGAGAAAACTCAGAGAACGTGACGGATGCGCATCATTTTAAAGCAACCACGACGCATAAACCCTTCATTCAGCGCCAGGAATTTTTTATTCCGATCATCCTCAAGACTTATTTGAGAAGAAGGCATTTGCCGTAGATGGCTGAACAATGCTTTAGTGGCAGCGGTGCTCTCTTTGATGTCTCAGTGTAACCACAGTCCTATTGAGGGACTGTGGTGTGACTGAGTGTTTGCTTTTATGTGAGGTCCAAGAGTAACCACAGAATGAGTCATCAATATTTTCACTTTTTTTTTTCTTGTAGATGCGCCTTTATCCCGGAAAAAAATAAATAAAGGAGAAATGCAGGGAGGTACTCTGCTGGAAAAGGGGGAATAAAGGATGCACAATGCTCACAGGCGACCTAATCCGAAAGGGCACTCTGCGATGTTTATCGCCAAATATTCCTCGATGCATGCACCCGTACAGTACTACTCCATGTATCCGAGACTGACAGCTGGAAATGCAAAGAAAACCAGACTAAATGAAACACGGCCACGGGACATTTTTCTTTCTCAATGTGAGTTTTATACATCGTGATTCACTGAGCTAAATATCTGTAACTTTCCCGCTTACGATGTCGACGAAAGCGCTTCGATATTTTCAAATTTTATTACCTTCGTTTAATTTGCTAAGTTTATCTTTTATTCATCCTGATTGAACCTTTGCAAGGCTCGCTGTATTGAATAATGAAACAGTTCTCGGCCAAATGGAGCATTTACCCCCATGGCCGGAAAACCTGAGCTGGAAGCCGCGTTCATTTTATTCGCCTGTTTCGCTCACACAGCTCGCTAAGTTGCGTATTCATGCGCTGCGGTCAAGCGCGAAAAACTTCCGAGTGAAACGCTAAACATCAGATTAAGCTAGACGCTAACGTACAGCCACGGCCACATCTGTGTAGAGCATGCAAGCAGCCGGTTCTCACTCTGCGGGGCGAAACCTTGAGGCAGTATCGGGCTCTGATGTGGTCAGCCTCACAACTAGGACACGAATGCTCCTGACACACCACTTCAGAGCCCGAAAGTGTCACAAGGTTTCGCGCCACGGAGCAAATACCGGTTGCTCGCGTGCTCTACACAGACGTGGCCGCGGCTGTACTTGTGGGGTCTGCAGGGGCACACACGATCCGATAATAAGTGTAATCAGTCGTCATTAGTGGAAGGAAAAGGCAGTTGGTGTTGAGATCCTCAGAACTACGGACTGTAAAGCTTGTATTTCATTCGATAGTCACTGAGATAAAACGAAAGATGGCAAAACAGAGATGCAGGAAAGTTCACCAGGTCCATTAAATATCATGCTCTGAGCAGAAAAAACTGACGGGAAAAAGAGAAAGAGAGAGAAGAAGGCAGTGTTACACTAATTTGAGACAAAGCCACCTTCCCGCCTAATTTCGGGACAGAATACGCGTTAACATGAACTAACCCTGCTTTCCCCGACGTGCAAGTGTACTTACAGCGCTTCAATGCCCGTGGGAATTACTTCTTCTTACCGTATGCTTGTTGCATTAACTTTACTTTGCACCAGTGTCCGCTGTAGACAACCACGTCAGCGGTCATTGGAAAAACGTAATATTGTCCTCGCCACTACACGTGCATTAAGAAAGAAAACTTCGACCTTAGGCTCAAATTTCTGTTTCATCTTTTTACTTCCGCTGTAACCATAGGCACATAAACAGGCAAGTGCGACCCTCATTTGCGGAAGCAGCCGCCTCCTATCCAGCTCCTCGATACGGCCGCCCCGAACGATGAAGATAAGAAAGAGAGCGAGAGAGGAGAACAGGCTCCAACATCTCGCCGTCATTCCGCTGCGGGACAGCCGCCGCTCGACTTGGCCGCGCCACTTTTCGGGAGAAAGGGCGGCAGATGGAAGAATCTCCAACTGCGCGCGCGAATGACGACTGGTCCCTTTCCCTACTCTCCCGACAGACGAAACTCGAACGGGACCGGACTGCGTTGCTACTACGGCATACGACGAGATCTCCTTTCGTCTCTCCCCCTCGCTCTGCACTGGCGGAGCTCGAACTCTCAGAAGCGGAGCATCCCTACTGCGGAGAGAGAGCGATTCCTTCCTCCTTTAACGAACGTTCGTGCGGAACGGGGAGCATCCCTACCGCGGGGATCCGAAGGAGACGGAGCGGTGGCGGGGGTTCCCGCGCGCCCCGCCCCCGGGCCAGCCCCACCGACGCGCGCGCGCAGCCAAGCCGCGGCTCCGAACCCCGGGCCCGGCACACGTGCCCGCCCGCCTCGAAGTTTCGCCGTCGCCCCGTTGCCGCTGTTGCTTTGAGTGTCGAGCGCCGATGGAAGCCGCGGGCCACGCCGCCGCCGCACCCGTGGACCTGTCGCGCTCTGGCGCGCCGGCGGGCGCGCCCTGCCTGAACGGCCCGGTTCCCGCCGCGTAGCCGCACTGACTGCCGGGCTGACGACGGGCCTGGCCGGTGCCGGACTGAGCCTGCTGCCCAGTCTGTACGGCCGTGCCGCAGGCGCGGGAGAATACGGTGTGCCGGCCAGCAGCGCAGGGGACGCGACCGAGTGCCGCCTGGTCGAGTACCGCGGCGAGCGAGTGGCCGCATTCGTGCAGCGAAGCGGCGAGTTGCTTCTGTGCCTGCCACAGGCAAGCGAAACAGTTACCGGTTTATTGCGCTGGCCACGTGTAGGTTGGGAAAACTGGACATGGTGTAGTCAACATCACTGAACTTATTTTTCTCTCTCTTTTCTGAACAGTGGAAACATAATTCAAAAGACTTACTTATAAAGAGCTATAAATCGTCACCCTCACTGATTTTCCGTTTCTTTTTCTCTCTCTTTCTTTTTTTTTTTTGAAATCGGCATGTCTTTATTCACGTACGTGCATCAGGGGTCTACACAGTGTGTCACTGAACCATCTGAAAAATTCATTTAGCTACACCAGAGCACATCTCAAAAATGCGGCTGGAGTTCAAATCAAATCAAAGTTAATTTTGCGTTCTGTAATACAAAAAGAAAAGACTGCAAAAAAAAAACTGTATTTTGAAGCAGCTTGACTAGCGTCCCGGAGAATGGGTCGATACCAAATTCTCAGTGGCGCATTGATAATCAAGAATAATAATAATAATAATAAAACGTAAAGCATGGGTCTGATTTCGAATTCGCGTGTATTATGTGAATCTAGGTCTAAATACTCTGTCGGGATGGCTGCATAACATACAGAACGAGAGGAGCCCTTAAATACCGCGAAACCAACATAAAATACCATGAAAAGACGCCAGCCGATTCACCGAAGAGTCGGCTGTAAGTATAATAAATAGCAGCGCTGCAATGAAGGCTTGTTTGCACAACGTTCGAGAGAAAGTGCTATTTTTTTTTAATTATCGAAAGTGTCAACACTATGAGCTGCCTGCAACAAAGAAAGCCACGATTACATAGAAGACGAATGGGTGAATATGGAGCAGTGATCGACCCCAGAGCACAAGTCCAAATCAGCCCCATGGTTCAATATCAGCCGATTCACCTAAGAGTCGGCTGCAAGAAAGAGTGAGGATGGAAGGAAGGAAAGAAGGAGAAAAAGGTGAACAAGATAGGCGTGATTTCACATGAACGGCCCCGTCTAATGGGTACGTCGGGCGCAGTTGCCGCGTCATTCAATAAATCCTGAGATATGATGCATTTGTAGCTTGGCCCATTTTAATATGCGCAGGTCGCGGGATCAAATCCCGGCTGCGGCGGCTGCATTTCCGATGGAGGCGGAAATGTTGTAGGCCCGTGTGCTCAGATTTGTGTGCACGTTAAAGAACCCCAGGTGGTCAAAATTCCGGAGTCCTCCACTACGGCGTCTCTCATAATCATATGGTGGTTTTGGGACGTTAAACTCCACAAATCATCAGTTTAATATGCACTGTGTGTAGTATTTTCCTTGTATTTTTTTCTTGGGTTTTTCTTGCAATACCGTTGCATGTGTTTCTGTTTTGTGCATACCGCAATACCAATTCACATGCATGTGGCGGCTGCATTTTTGATGGAGGTGAAAATGCTGGAGGCCCAAGTGCCCAGATTTGGGTGCACGTTAAAAAACCCCAAGTGGTCGAAATTTCCAGAGCCCTGCACTGCGACATCTCTCATAATCATAGGGTGGTTCCGGGACGCCAAGCCTCACACACATAAATCAATTTACATGTACGTGAGGGAAGAGAGCATTGCCAAGCCGCGATTGAGTGGCTTCTTTTTTCTCTTCTCCCCAGTCGTGCATGTCTCCGTGCATGTTCTCTTCTCCAGTTGATGCCCGTTACAGACATGGATGCGAGTCTTAAATAATGACTCAGACACATATTCATATTCAGACTCATAGTCAAATACTCGAATAACAACACGCACTGTCAACTAACTATTAGCGTCTCAGGGTCGCTTCAGTATGACATGGTTTTACTTCAACTGTTGACTAACACTTCACGTCTGCGCAGGCGACTCGAATCTGACTGACGAGTGGACTTCGTAGAAATGGCGTTTTTGTCCCAACCAAGCGAAGTGAGAGGTTAAATAAGAACATATATCTGCGGTTCAACGGCAAAGTGCGGTAAGGTGGTGGTGATACGGCACTCGCAAAGTCTACTCGTCAGTCTTGATGAAGATAACTTGATACAATGAAAATGTACGTTGCGTTCTGCAATCAATGTTGAATGTATGGTTAGCTTGGAACCCATAATGCACTGCTATTAGTAACCGTTAAAAAATGTCACGAACAAAATTACAAACTAACAGATAAATGAGCAATACCGCGCTCGTTGTTCAAACACTTGTGCTCATTCAGTCTGAAGAGAAATAAAAACAATCTTAAAGAACATGCGTTCTACAACTCTAGCATTTGTACAGGTGTTACTCTCTGAGACAAGTTTTCCATCCCTCCGCTTAAGTTTAAGTTGTGCTGAAACACATGAATACCATAACATACTAAGAAAATAATTTCATACTCATGTGGTACTGGACAAATCATAATCTAACATACACGCAGAAAGGGGGGGGGGGGCACTCACGCTGTAAAGCCAGGCGAAAAAGTTTGATTTGCAACGTCACTCTGTGAAGCCACAGATAGATCAATTGATCGTTTTATCGATGCTCAATGAGTCGTTGATTCTTACTGTTTATTATTACCGAAATGGAATCAGTGATAAAAAAACAAATTAATCTAATGAGTCCAGGGAAGAAGTCGAACACTAGCTTGTTGTGCATGTATGCAACAAATTTCAAGAGAAACTTCACTGGTCTGTCGTTTCCCTTCCCGCGTGAAGGGTAGCAAATGAACAACACAACGTCTACTGAACTTGGCTGTCTTTATTTCATTATCTCTCCGGCTTGACTGCTTGTCACTTACCGATATAAATATGCTTGCGTCGTAGCTACAACATGTACTAGGTCAGAATGTGATGCGTGTGTCATTGTAGTTTGCGAAGTTCGCTGCCTTCAATGATCATTCGCAGTCACCTCCGTCTTTTTTTATATGCGCACTGCTCTCTCTTTTCTCCCATTTTGATTGTACCTTATTCTAAATGTAGGGTAGCAAACCGGGCGCTCATTTTGCTGTAGTCGCAGGTTTCTCTCTTTTTTTCCCTTTCTCGTTCATTCAATACGGCACTGAGCAAGTGCGTATCTCTGATGACGCGAGAGCTCCTTCACAATAGAGCTGCCCTAAACCCTGCCCTACCCTGGTGCAGGCGTTCGAGCTTTTCCTGAAACACTTAGTGGGCGGCCTTCACACCGTATACACCAAGCTCAAGCGGCTGGCATCAGCCCCATCGTGTGCAACGTGGAGCAGGTGCGCATACTGCGTGGACTGGGCGCGATACAGCCGGGCGTCAACCGCTGCAAGCTGCTCGCGTGCAGGGACTTTGACGCCCTCTACCGTGACTGCACTACCGCCAGGTAAGGCACGCAACATCTTGAAATGCATGCCAACACACATCTGCGCGCACAGCAAAGAGGGGTTGTAATTTCACTAAGTTTTATTATTATTAGCCATTGGCCGGCCATAATTACTAATAGTCTTGACGCCACGATTGACTGGCATTGAACCTTATGAACAGTTCCAGATTAGAATACTTTTGTGAATACAGATGGCCAATAGATGCTTTAGAAAAGTCCATCACGGTTTCGGTCTACTCCTGAAGCTGTGAACGGCCCCACAAGCTCTAAACAGTGCACCACAGTATTCGATTGGTATGTAGATTTTGCGATAAATAGAGGCAAATGCTTCTCTGTTTGAACTGCAGCGTAACCCTGGATTCTGTGGCTTTGAGCCTCTCCTCCATGGTTGCTTTGAGCGTCTGCTACAGCGAAAGAGAGAATTGTTTATTGTGGCTGAAAAGCTGAGACGTCTGCTACAGCAGTTAGTTTTGCAGTGAGTGGCAGACAACGCCCTTTCACCAGTTGCATCGCTCGTTGTTCGGAAAGAACTAGCTGAGACTATCTTAGTGTGCAGGTACACAGGTTTGCATTGAAAGAGAACGCCGTGAGTGGCGTGCTCTGTCTGTGACAATTTCGCGCAGTCCATTTCACATCAATCGCCACAGATCGTAGCGCGACTGCCTCGCTAACCGGGAGATCGCGGAAAGCAGCGTGTGGACGCGTTCCACAACAGCCGACGCACGAGCAGCACGCAGCTCCTGTGGCGCCACCTGCGACAGAACTTGTCGTCTCGTCGCTTTCATTCCTCCTCTAGCGCGCTCTCCTCACTATAGCCAGTGTTCCCCACTCGCTCTCTTTCGTCCTCGTTCGCTCTGCTGGTTACGCCGACGCTGTTCAACGCAGGGAATCGGCGCCTAAGAGATGCGACTGTGAAAAGGTGATGAATGACGATTGTAAGATAGAAGGTGGGTATTTACAGTCCCGTCAGTCGGTGCAACGCTACAGCTATGCATGTAGTCCTGTGGCTTGTGGGAATGCGATGACTCCTCTTACGACAACAGTTGCACTGTTGGCGTCAGGTCAGGGCCTAACTTAACTTCACCAGTTAGTCACCTATTATGAAATAGTTCATTAGAGGAAATCAATTTTTTGTCGCTCGCGTGCGTATGCTGGGGCCAGTACAACACATGTGCTCCAGCGTTTCTGGCACTCGACAGTGATCACAACTGAGACCGGTGTCACTGCAGCCGATGATATGTCAACAGCGTCTTGTGAAAGCCACACCAAGATGAATCCGGCGAATTATACTTGTGATTTTACGCTTTAATTTACGAAGCATGCAGAACCTCATTTACTTAAAGGGGCATTTAGAACACCAGCAGTTGCTCCAGCATTCGCAGCAAAAAGAAAACAGGGCATTACAGTTGTCGTTGCCACTGATCGAACCATAATAACGCACGTGTTACTTTTTGGAGTTGTTTATCTCTAGACACGGTGGCTTTGGCATTAAGTAACAGAGTACGAAATCGTTTAAAAAATGCTTATGTACAATCCAAAACTCCTCCAGTAAGAGGTTTTTATAGAATATTTTTCATTAGCTTGAGTCTAGGTGCTCGCCTGAATGCGTTAGCGACCGGTGCGATAATAAGACTATCGCTGAAGTTATAATAATATCAGGGTCTTTATGTGATAAAACCATGGTTACTGCTATCAGGCTTGCCTTACAGAATTTGTTGCGACCACCTGTGTAAGGTTGTGGATTCTTCAATGAAGGAAGTCAGTCAGGGCGAGGAGGGGGGGGGGTGGAGGTGGTTACGCACACTAACATAGCGAGCCAGCTAACACTTTTAGGGGCGAAACTCCTTATAGCGGCACCTGTTCGTCCACCGTAGTATGTAACAAGTATAACATTTTGACCTCCAAGGTGGTGCTGGTAAGAGACTTCTTCTGTGCGCTGTTGAACAATAAAAAATAGTGCTCAATGTACATGTAAATGGCTGCTAATGGAGAATGAGAGACCGCAGCATTCGGTTTTTAGTTAATGCGCAGGCTGCAATCACCATTAGCAGCCATTGGCATGTACATTGAGCACTATCTGACAAGAAAGGGTTGCTACGTTATACTCGCTGGGTGTAACCTCCTTAGCTTTAGAAAGGTTTAGCGAGCGTTGAGCCGCAGTGCCACGAATGCAATGAACTTGTATATACTATGAATGAACTCGAGGTGGTTAAAAATGGGAAGTAGATACGAAGCGCAAGCTGTAAGAAAGTAAAAGCCGACTTCTCCGCCTCTCATTTCCCATTAGCAGCCATTGACATGTACATTAAGCACTATCTGACTGAAAAAGTTTGCTACGTCATACTCGCCGGACGTAACCTCCTTGGTTTTCGAAAGGTTTAGCGAGCGTTCGGCCGCAGTGCCATGAATGCAGTGGACTAGTATATACCATGAACTCGAGGTGGTTAAAGGTGGGAAGTGGACCCGAAGCGCAAGCCGTAAGTAAGTGTGCGTGTGCCACCTCTCGTTTAGTCCTTGGAATGTCCGCTGGATGGCGGTGCTTCTATATGGGGAATATATGATGAAAAGATGCGAGATGGTGGTACTTTGAGTGTTGTATAGATGAACGAACGGACACACAGACAGATGCATGGATGGACGCATGAAAGGACGCAGGGGCGGCTGCATGGACGAACGCAGGGACGGACGCACGAACAGACGCACGCACGGACGGGCTGATGGACGCATGGACGGTCACACTGACGGACGCATGGACGGACGGAAGCAAGAACAAATTGACGGACGAATTCTTCGCCCCACTCTCCATCATTCACTCCGTGGATATGCTGCCATTTTTTTTCCATTGTTGTGGTATCTTCTAGACAAATTTGTTTGCTTATAGTTGCAGTCTCTTGAAGCCCTTCAGCTGGCTACTTGCTCCTCGCAGCACTTCCCCTTGCTGGATAATACAGAGCAAGTTTGAAAGACTTCATACTTCACATGAAAGTTCAGCTGAAATGGCTAAAGCATCTTGTAGCCCCCGGCAGCCACCACAACGTTGCTTTGTGCGCTCGATTTGTCAGAACTTCGTGTTCTCTAGCGTGAGGAGCGTTGTTGGCCGTGCGTTGGATCACACATGAAACGTTTAGGCTAGATTGTGCGCGCGTGTGCTGCCGAATGTACTGTGTTTATCTCTCTTCCCTCTCTATCTTTCATCTCCCCCATCCCCCTTCCATGCGCAGGGTAGCAAACCGGCTGCCTATAGGCTGGGTAACCTCCCCAGCGGCCGTTCTTTCCCTCCTATTTTCTTTCCTTCTTTTAGACTAGGTGGTCTAAAACAGATCCGCGACGTGTAGCTGTCCCGACAAAGATGGCACGGGACTCGGGATGGTACATGAAAAGGCGGGACAGTCCCACAAAATTTGGGACAATCGGTAACACAACACCTGTGACATCGCAGTAGGGTCCTAAAGAGGATGGCCCCTACGCAGTAGAATCCTGTTGGTTACAAATGTAGTTACAGGACGCTTGTGTAGTTGCGCAGTTTTTTTTTTGTAACACAAATGCGTTACGTGGCAAATGTAGACACAAATTAACCAACATGTGTGTCTATGTTTATATGTACACTCGTCCTGTATTTTATTTGCGCTACAAGAAGATCTGCTCAAGGTGTCTTACCGGCAAGCCTTCACCGCATTCCTTGTGACGTGAAAGGGGAGGTCTGAGATTGCAAGAAAATAGTGATTTTTCTAGGTGGATCGCTGGACTATGGCGTTTTGCTGTAGACAATGACATTGCAACATTGATAACTCCCGGCTGTATTCAATGTGAGGAACGTTTTTCCAACAACAAGGGCGGGCTCGTAAACTAATGAATGCTGAAGATCAACGTCAGTAGCAGAAATAAAAAAAAAATAAACCAAGGGTATGTACTAATTACCTCATCATAAAAATTTGTTAGTAGGCTTGAACATGTGTTGATTGTGGGCAAGTAAACGCTCCGCTTCATTAATCAGTTCTCCGCGTTATTGCTGATTTAGAGGCACTTGAGATTCCATGAAACTTGATTTCATGCTTTGCCTTCCAATGCTGACAACGGAGACAATTTCACCTGATAAGTGTCACTACGAAGTGTAGTTTGAGTCGTATCAGAAGCTTGCATTGTTTAGGTATAGCATATGTCGAATACATAAACTGCTTTCAAGCACCAACAAATTTTTCACGCTTCGGAGACATGTGCGCTTTGCCCACAGGCTTGTCGCACAGGTTTTGACGTGATAACGATAAATAACTTGTTTCGAAAGAACTCCGGGGTCGGCGTCGTTGGTTACGAGTGAAAGATCAACGTCTTGTTCATGACCGAAAGTCAAGAACGATGCAAACAAAGTAAAAAAAAACGAATAACTTCGGTTCAAGTGAGAATTGAACCCAGGCCGTCCACGTGGCAAGCATGTGTTCTACCACACAGCCACAGCATTTTTTTAATGGTATTTAATAAAGTACTTGCGCAATAAAGACAAAATCAAGCGAACAAAAGTACAATCAAATCGCCAAAGTAAGCGCTCAAGCGTTACTCATAAACACTAAATGGCTAACACAGCATGAGTTCCTCACATGAAGAGTTCTTCACATCGTATTATACAAACAAAAAAGGGGTGAGGTCAAATCTCTAAGACGGAGTACCAGTCCGGTCTAAAGTCTAGCTCGTCGTAAATGTTTTTTAGGTGGATAGCCATTTGAATGAAGTGTGCGCTTGAAGAGGTGGTGGGCTCTGCATTGCGGTCTTGAATTCGTGTCTTCCACAAGCTGTGCATACCCATGAAAAAAAACATATCATATGGTACTTTATCAAGCGTTGCTGGTAGAAGATAACACAATACAACACAGCCACAGCATTGCTGGAATCTTCTTCGGTAAAAACACTATATGAATGTCATGTAGTTGAAGGTGTCTCCTTAACGCATGTCGTATTGCATGGCTGAAGTATATAATTACGCCATGCATCAAAACACGATCACGTAT